GCTCCTCGGCGGGCTCGGGGGCAAAGCGTGTGAGAGCCACTGCTCTGAGCCGCTTTGCTGGCGTGTTTTCATTATGGTTCTTGGCTTTGTGTTCGGGGCTCTCCTGCCCCACGGCTTGCTGACCTTAAATTTCACGCTCAGCTCTGAAACGGGCTGGGTGAGGCCTTAGAAATGACTCGGGCTCCCTCTGCTGGTTCTCCTGGACTTCGGGACACAAATGCAGACGGCGAGAGGATCTGGACGTCCGTTTTTTCAAAAGTAAATCTGGGCTCGTGAGAAACGTATAAAGACTAAAAGTAACAAAATGTTTTCTTTCCCAGCGTCATTACTTTTACAGTATGAACACACAAATTGAGTTTGTGTGTACATGTATATGTGTGCATGTGTACTTACTTCGGTTTTGGTTCATAATTAAGAATTCATACAGTAGAACTGCCATATTATCCAGCAGTCCCATTCCTGGGTACATATTCAAAGGAAAAGGAAACAGTTTGTTGGAGAGACACCTGCACCCTCATGTGTGTTGCAGCCCTGTTTGTAACAGCCAGGATGTGGAATCAACCAAATTGTCCATCAGTGGTTGAATGGATCAAGAAAAGTGTTCTCCACCCACTTGTGGCAGCCTCCAGACAAGCCCTGTGACGCACAGATGGGAAGCAGGAGCCAGGCGGTCCAGTGGCTGCCAAATCTTCCATTTGTCCACAAGTTAGGTTCACGCATAGCCTCTGCCGCGCTGTGCTGGGAGGCCTCCCATAGGCAGCACTAACGCATGTCACCAGCAGGACGAGCGCGTAATTCCCTGGCTCACTCTGGCAAAGCTGGCTCTTCCAAAGCATCGTTTTCAGGCCAGCTGACATCTTTTGGTGTGCAGTGTCCACGAGTAAGGTTGAGGGTGAAAGGCCTTCCTTGAGTGCAGTTCTCCCACTCAAAGTCAGGGGCAAAACCAGGAAGCTGGCAGACAGCAGCCACCTGGCCCTCGCAGCAGTGTGGTAACAACAGTTAAATGACCTCTGTCAGACCTCTGGTCAACACAGCTATCGAGTCTCACGAGTTTACGAGGTTTCCATTGTGGCAGTTTGTTCAGGTGGTTTTCTGGGTAATTTCGTGCTGCTCTTGCTGCTCAATTTCCAGGATTGTCAAATTCCGCAGCTCCGTGTGCTGACGCGTTCACGCACAGCTCCACAGCCAGGCACTCCTTGGTGAGGAACCTCCCAGCATCGTGTGCAAGTGCCCGCAGGGTGGGGCATGGCTGCTATTGCTGGGCAACTTTTTTCCAACCAGCTCGCCGCTGGGTGCGACATCCCAGTCATCCGTACAGTCCCCGGTGAGGTGAGATGGCGACAGACATGTTTTAGCCACCATCTCACTGCTAGCTGGCCCATGAGGAAGGCTGAGAAGTGAGCCTGTGGGTGCTCAGGATGCCACTGGGGGTTTAAGCAGAACGACGCGAGTTGATGCTAAAAGCCGTCCCTGTGCTACCAGAGGAGGAGGCGTCAGCAGTCACTCGTTAAACTTAAGGAACGTTCACGTGCACATCCTTTCCGATGCAGGTCAGTGGACTGCCAACCCCAGATCTCAGCTGGCAGCTCGATGGAAGGCCCATCCGGCCCGACAGCGCTCACAAGATGCTGGTGCGTGAGAACGGGGTGCACTCGCTGATCATAGAGCCTGTCACATCACGAGACGCCGGCATCTACACGTGTGTAGCCACCAACCGAGCCGGACAGAACTCCTTCAGCCTGGAGCTCGTGGTTGCTGGTAGGCTCATCTGAATCCTTGCTCTCTGCATCAGATTCACACACGTAAACCAATTCCACATTACCAGCAAGTTTGCCGAGTAGCAGATTGCATCGTCGAGACAGCCGGTGGGGACGTGTCATGAGGCCCAGTGAATCGAAAACAGTAGTTTCTCATGCTTCAGTGGGATCACGCAGTCTGTCCTTCCTCCCACTGACGTGGCCAGAAGAGGAGCTTCCGCAGCTGCTCTGGGCCACCCGCCCATTCATGTGCCGTGGCTACAGTGTAGCATACAGAAAGGGGGAGAGCTCGTGGACCCAGATCATTTGCTTACATAAAGTCCGGCATCCAGTCCCTGTTTTTGTATTTATTTTCTTGCTTATTTTGAGTAGGGAGTGTCACTCTGTCACCCAGGCTGGAGTGCAGCTCACCACAGCCTCGACCTCCTGGGCTTGGGCGACCCTCCTGCCTCAGCCTCCCAGGTAGTGACTACAGGCACATACCACCACGCCCAGCTTTTTTTCTTTTCTTTTTTTTGTGGAGATGGGGAGTCTCCAAGCCCAGCCTTAGACCTTTTTTGAGAAAGCAGGGCTTATCCAGAGGACAGAAAAGCTCCCACAGTGGGAGGAGACCTGAAGGGGTTGCCCTAGACCATGTTTTAAAATATCATTGTCATCTCTCCTTACTGTCGCAGTCAAATCAAACTTAGGCTTTTTTGGGGGGAGGGAGTCACTCTGTCACCCAGGCTGGAGGACAGCGGCCTGTTCACAGCTGCCACAGCCTCAACCTGCTGACTCAAGTGATCCTTCCATCTCAGCCTTCCAAGTGGTTGGAACCACAGATACGTAGCACCACGCCCAGCTCATCTTTTTTGAATTATCGTAGAGACAAGGTCTCCCCAAGTTGCCCAGGCTGGTCTTAAACCCCTGGACTCAGGCAGTCCTCTCACCTCTGCCTCCCAAAGAGCTGAGATTACAGGGATGAGCCACTACGCCCGGCCTAGACTTGCTTTTCAACTGAACATACTATAGGTAGTTTTTGTAAAAGTGTTACTACAAGTATATGAAGTCTTACCCTCTGAGAGTCCTCAAAGGAAAACACGTTAACCTTGGGGCGGCCCCTTCAGGTCCCCTCTCACTGTGGGAGCTTCTCTGTCCTCTCAGTGGATCCTGCTTTTAAAAAAAAAAAAAACCTCAGCCTGTAATCCTGTGCCTTTGGGAGGCTGGGGTGAGTGGATTGCCTGAGCCTGCGGGTTCGAGACCCGCCTGGGCAGCGAGACCTCATCTCTACAATAAATCAAAAGGTCAGCTGGGCGTGGTAGCGCGTGCCTGTAATTCCGGCTACTCGGAAGGCTGAGGCGGAAGGATCGCCGGAGCCCAGCAGGGTGAGGCTGCGGTGACCGGGAGCGGCCACTGCACTCCAGTCTGGGCGACAGAGTGAGACTCCGACTCAAGAAAAAAAACCTTACACATAACACAAAGTGTTAGAGTCTTTGGTATTTGAGAATTTCGGGTGGAACGCGTGTTCTCTCTGAGCTCTCTCCCTGCTCTGGTATGATCTGTCCCTTCAGAGAAGGGGATGGTTCCCACTACTGAGCCAAGAAAAGTTTCCACTGGGTAGGAATATTCAGGGTGTTCTGACCTTTTCAGAATAAGTTATACAGCTGTGTTTTTCTAACGGTTTCCCTCCCTCAAGGTGATAAAGTTGTCTTTTCCATAACTTCCTTCAAAGAAAACAAATCGGAATCTGTAATTTACGGCTATATATTCCCAGCTGATAGATAATCATTTCAAAGCTGCCAAATGAGGCCAAGGTGCACCCTTTTTATTTCTACCCACTTCACATTCTGGGTTCCATCTCACTGAAGTCAGGAGCCGTAACTCTCCAGTCTCAGATAACACGAGGAGTTGGGTGGGTCCACCTCCCAGAAGGGATTGTCCTCAGGCCACAAGGTGGCAAGGGTGGCAGAGGCTGTAAGGCCGCACGGATGCTTATGGTGACACAGGAGGCCCCTAGCCATCAGACAGGCATTCCGTGGCACAGACACGGGGCCTGTGGGCCTCTCGGACTCCAGTACCTGAGGAGATACAGGAGAAGGAGAGCCAGGCAGAGGCTGCAGGCTTGGCAGCCTCAGTGTGTCGAGTCATCTGGAGGGACCCGCCTCTCACCAGATGAAGTGAGGCTGGGACTCCAGAAAAAAGGCTCTGTTCCGCGGGACTTCCAGAAGCCTCCGGGCCCTTCTCAGTGCTTCCTGTACACGTGACTGACAAACCGTCCATCTCGTGTTTCCTCAGCTAAAGAAGCACACAAGCCCCCGGCGTTTCTCGAGAAGCTGCAGAACACAGGTGTCGCCGACGGGTACCCAGTGAGGCTGGAGTGCCGTGTTTCGGGGGCTCCCCCGCCCCAGATATTTTGGAAGAAGGAAAATGAGTCACTCACGCACAGCACAGACCGTGTGAGGTAAGACCGCACGGCCCCCGGCCCGGTCTGTGGTGGTGGGTCTTGTGCGATGGGTGGAAAGACGCGTCTTCGGTGGCGCAGGAGCCTGGGCGTCCCCCAGCCGTGCTGCCGCGACCCCAGAGACAGAGTCCCGCGCTGCCCGAATAGAGGGGAGCTGCGTTTGGCTTTGGAAGGCAGAGGCAAGGGTCTGTGATAATGTGCGTCCGATGTCAGCTAGCGGTGATTTCTTTAAAGTGTTGGTTTATCCTGCTGGGTGTGGTGGCTCACGCCTGTAATCCAGCACTTTGGAAGACCGAGGTGAGAGGATGGCTTAAGCGCAGGAGCTGGCGACCAGTTGGGGCAACATGGCGAGACCTCGTCTCCACAAAAGTGAAAACACTCGCTGGGTGTGCCTGTAGTCCAGCTACCCAGGAGGTGGGGGCTGTGGTGAACCGTGAGCATGCCATGGCCCTTCAGCATGGGTGGCAGGGGGAGACTCTGATTCAGGGAAAAATAAAATAAAAGTATCCTGGTAGCTCAGAAAGTTAGCATATCAGTTTGCTTCCATGGGGATAGAGACTATTCAGCGGCTTTTGTAAAGGCAGATCCTCAATTCGGAGTTGAGTGCACACATTTATTTGACATCTCACGTCTGCTCTTTCTCCACGAACCGGAATGGACCAGCAGCCTCTGCGGAAGGAGGGCGACCCTGTTACCTGCCACTTGCACATTCTGTTTCAAATGACCTCATAAAAATGGCACTTGGTGTCCAGAGCCGCCGCTTACACACAGAGAGCACTGATGGCTTTGCCCTTTTCTCCAGCATGCACCAGGACAGTCACGGCCACGTCTGCCTGCTCATCCAGGGAGCCACCAAAGACGATGCGGGGTGGTACACAGTGTCGGCCAAGAACGACGCAGGGATCGTGTCCTGCACCGCCAGGCTGGATGTCTACAGTGAGTCCCACCTTCTCTCACTCTAGAGTGTGCGGAGTCAGGCCTCTGCACAGCAGGTCGTGTTACTCTTCTCCGGTCTCATCAGCAGTTCACGTTGCTCTCTCTCTTTCTGTTTATAGTTTCCCGACATTAATAGTGAACCACACCAGGAGAACAGACACCCAAGTATCCCTCGGGAACTTTGAGTTATTAGCAAAGCATGCGTGTGGGTTTCTCTCACCTTGGCCAGACAGCTGTGGCTTCCCTACTCCTCAGGAGTTAACAGTCAGCAAAGGCATAGCCTCACGCTCGCTTTTTCTTGTTACGGTGTCCTGCAGGTGGCTGCCTTTTGACATGTTTTCCTCCACTGTGATCCTGTGGCAGTGCCCCAAGGCACTCCAGACGTGTGCGCCATTGGCCTTGGAGTGCGTGCGTTTGTGGCTTAGCGCTTTTCTCATTAATATATCCTGGGCACTTCAGCAGTGGGTTTGAGTATTTGTGTGTGTGTGTATTTGTATACATGCATCCTAAATTTAAGGAAAATTGTTCCTACTGAACTTATAAGCTGCAACAGTATAATAGCATTATGTGATCCACTGATAGAAAACCACTAAAAAAAATTAACTGATTTTAAATTTTACCCCTTATTGAAGAAATAACTTGTGAGGGTCTTCAAGAAATGAGTGGCCTCACCTTGCCTATTGTCCAATTCCTTTCAATTGATTAGTGTCAAAATATCCATTTAGAATTCCTGACGATTATAATTATTGAAAAGAATATATTTCTTAAGGGGGAGGTGGCATGAGAATTAGGAGGCTTATCAGCTATTTGATTCCCTGTGCTGTATTTATCAACTTAAAAAAAAAAAGACAAACTACCCTCAGTCTTCATAAGCTAGCTACCATGGTCCCACCACCCTGTCATGCGTGTCAGATGCAGATGTGACCCTGAGTTTTCCAAGTTTCTACCATGGGTGTGTCTGTGCTTTCACACGGAGTGTGTGCCTCATACACGTCCCCCGAAGAGACTAAGAGCTGTCCAAGTAGGTAAAACGTCTCCATTTCCTCTTTGTTTGTAGCCCAGTGGCAGCCACAGCCACAGAGCACCAAGCCAAAAAAAGTGCGGCCCTCGGCCAGTCGCTACGCAGCACTTTCGGATCAGGGCCTTGACATCAAGGCAGCGTTCCAGCCTGAAGCCAGCCCGTCTCCCCTGGTGCTGCACACGGCCCTGGTGGAGAGTGAGGACCTGTAGCCCAGCCTCCTGTGGTGCGAGACGCGGAAGCAGCCATCACCTTGACCAGCGTGCTCCTGTGTTTTGTGCGTAGAGAGCAGAAACAGACCTTTGACCCTGCGAAACGAAAAAACACCAAAAGGACATTTTTCTTACTTGATATACCAAACTTAGAGCTTCAGTAGGTGATGCTAATAGAGATGTACACATTGCACAGGAAACTGACACTTATCGTCCAATTTTAAGCTTTTGGAATTGCTGTGATCAGAGTGGTCTGAAATGCCAAAATGCTAAAGGAAATCAGTTGTTCACGAGCAGCCACAACCCATGTTGTCTACAAGTGCCTTTAAATACGGCTGTGGTGCTATGTCTGTGTAGCATGGTAGTGTGAAGTGTCTAACGCAGGCAGCCGTGCCACAGAGGGGACCACAGGGATTCCGGAGGACAGAAGCGCCAGGGAACCAGGGAGTGTGTGGGGTGAACACCAGGAAGGAAGGACAGGATCCAAGCAATGCCTTGTCTCTGCAAATCATGTGGCATGAAATCACACGGAAGGAACTACTTGCCTTAAACTATGTCAGTATCAAGGGTTTTCTAGCAGGGTTGATGCCTGAGTTCTTAACCTTTTTTCTTTTCGTGTAGTATTTTCTTTTCATGCGACCTTGTCAGAATGCTTGGCCACAAACCATGTTCAAAGGCTAACTTAAATATAAATAATAGAGTCTTCTGAACAAAGCAGAACTGTGTTTCAGTCCATTCCTCGAAAGGCATCCAGCCACCCGTGTGGCCTAGGCATGTTGTGTTTGGGGGAAGCAGGGGTTGGGCAGAGTGGGAAGGGGAAGGAGGACGAGGGAGAGGCTTCCGGCGCAGCCGTGCGGGACTCACGCAGACGAGCAGGGGTGGCGGGGCCGGGCTGCTCCTCGGCTTTCTTCGGTGTGGATGAGAGCCTGCCAGTGAACGAGTCAGGGAATCCAGGGTCCGCTGGAAGATTGGAGCACGTGTGCACAGAGACCTCGGTGTGTCTGGAGTTCGTGTAGTTGTTGCAGAGTCTCGGTGTGGAGAGCAGGTTGAAATGGGGGGACTGCAAGGTGTGAAACCGCCTGCGGGGTCTACTCGAAGGAGACGAGACATTAGGAGAGGCAGAAACAGGCTTGTGCTGTGGCGTGCTCTCAGCGGCACCAAGATGCGGCGAGCGGAGGTGAGTTCCCGTCTCCGCTGCTGGGCTGCATTCCTCCGGAGGGGCTGTGCCGGGGCGGTGTGAAAGGCATCTCGGCCAAGGCTGCTTTCGAGCGGGTGTGATTCTGCGTCAGCCAGGCCGAGCTGATTCTGACCAGACTTGACAGTTTTAAGTCGGAACCGGAAAACTTTGAGAGGAGGAAAGATAACTTGGCCTAGTATAAACCTGAGGCTATAATGGTACTTTGCTACGAAAAGAAAACACTGTATTCCTTATGCAAAACGCATATCTTCCATTATTTATAAGTGTTGAACTCTTAGCTCAGTTACTCGACTCATACATAGCATTTTAAAAGTAATGTTAGATCTCTGTACCACCTCACATATTTCACGTTACTGCTTCACATCTACAGCTTTCTACTTCTTTGTGAGAACACCAACCAACCAAGTTTTAATGCCAAATAGGCTGAGCACTGGGTTGCAGACATTCTACGCAGCGTAGTGCAAGTTTATTTGACCACATGTATATGCATTGCTGATATGGAATTTAAGATAACCTACAAAGTCTCTCATGGGCCTATCTGTATTGTAGAATTATGACTTATGTCAGATCTTACTTGCCAAAATTTTTCTGGATGTGACTTTTTTGCTAATTTGCTGGGTTTGGGATTAGCATTATTTTGCCACCTTTATATTGTATTTATAAAAAAATACTATCTTACTACTTTGGATTGTTGTGCTGGTGAAATGTGGATTTAACATCAATAAATATTTAACAAATAATAGTTACAGTTTTGTGAAGCACAGTGTTTAGTTTTAGTTTTCTACTGCTGCTGTAATAAATGAGCACAACTCAGAGGCTTCCAACACCCTCATTCCTCACGGTCCTGCAGCCCAGAAAGGCAGGCATGCTGTGGCTGGGTTCTTGTTCAAGGCCTGGTAGGGCTAAGCCGCCTGTCGGTAGGGCCGTGCTCTCCCCAGAGCTCAGGCCGCTGTGCCGGCTCCTTTGCTGCGGGACTGCCCCCGCTCCCAGTGGCCGCCTGTGTTCCGTGCCACCCGGCCCCTCCGTCTTCAGGGCTGGCCACGAGACTCCGTCATGACATGTCCTCTCACGCTCTGACTCTCTCTCATCAAGGCCCTGGTCCCTTTTAGGGCTCACCTGATCACATCAGGCCCACTCAGACACTCCCTTTATTAACTCATTCGCAACCACTGACGTGAATTTACATCACTGCAAACTCTGTTCTGGTTGCCGCTGATGTGAACTTGCCTCATCATGGAAGACTGTCTTTTTAGGTTTATAATCCGAATAAAAATACAAAGTACAGAATGCTAGTCAGAGTGGTGTCTGAGGCAAATACTGGATATGTCTGCAACTTTCAACTGTATTGTGAAAAAGCTGACAATTTAGAAAAAGACCACTTTACTTGTGCTTAATGACAAAGTTTGCAGCAACCAGCTTCAGATTCTTTTTATTTTCACCTGCTCTCAGTATTAGGAAAGTGAAAAATCCGCCGGTTACAAGTGTGCTAAAATCACCTGATTTGGGGCCTTAATTACATCTGCAAAATCCCTCCAGAGAAGCAGCTAGATTCATGTTTGACTGGATAATTGGGAGAAGGCGTGTGTACACCAGGGTGGGGATGATGGGGCCATCTTAGAGTTCTGACTACCACATCGATTCATGTAGGTGCAAGTATAAACACGTACCAATGCCCTGGCTTATGAGACTGTGTGAGGTACAGCGAGACGACGTGAGTTATAAGTGAGGAAAGGGAGAAAACAATGATCAATAGAACAAGAGTTGGAGCTGCACACGCATTCATATGCATGTATTCATAAACAGCAATGCCTAGATTGTCACAACAGGTGGACATATTTGGCCCTAGGCTTTCTTACTGCGGAGAAAAAGAGAAAGCGGGCCATTAATATAACTCAGGGCCTCCATAAGGTAGAAATATGTTATCTTTTACATAAGCTGTGTGATGAGCTTTGACGGTACATCTGAATTAACCGGGACTGTGCATTTCACACTGTCCCCTGTGTGGCTTACAAGAGCCATTAGATCTCAATGCTGGACTTGTTCTTGATTTTTCCTCATGTGACCATGAGTGGTTTGCAGCAATCACTGTGGCACATCCTAGACTATTATGGATACCGCTGTACAAACTAGACAATCCAGAGGAAGTGGATAGATTCCTGGAAACATGCAGCCCACCAGTCAGGAAGAAATAGAAACTCCGAACAGACCAATAAAGAATAGCAAGATTGAAATAATAATTTAAAAGTCTCCCAACCAGAAAAAGTTCAGGCTCTGACAGACTCAGCCAAACAGACATTCAAAGAAGAACTGGTATCAATTTTACTAAATCTGTAAGACCGACGAGGAGGAAATTCTTCCTCATCCTACAAAGCCAGTATCAAAGATACAATAAAAAAAGAAAACTACAGATCAATATCCTTGATGAACACAGACACAAAAGCCTCAACCAAACATGAGCAAACCCCATTCAACATCACAGTTTTTCAAAATCCCACTACAATCAAGTGGGTTCTATACCAGGTATGTAGGAATGGCTCAACACACACAAGTAAAAAAAAAAAAAAATCTGCGTTAAAAGAATTAAAAACACATGATCATTTCAACAGACACAGCAAAAGCATTTGATAACATATCCAGCATCCCTTCATGATAAAACCCTCAGCAAAACAGTCATAAAGGGAACATTCCTCCAAATAATAAAAGCCATATATGACAAACCCACAGCCAACGTCATTCTGAATGAAGAGAAGTCCATCATACTCCCCCTCAGAACTGAAACAAGTTAAGGATGTCCACTGTTACCACTCCGATTCAACATAGTCCTAGCTGGAGCAATCAAGCAAAAGAAAGAAAGAGTATCCAAACTGGAAAAGAAGAAATCAAATGATCTCTGCCATGATATGATCTTATACTTAGAGAATCCTAAAAACTCCGAAAGACTCCTGAACTTGATAAATGAATTCAATAAAGTTGCAGGACACAAAACCGACACACACAAATGTTGGTGTAAGCTGAGAATCAAGTCAATAATTCAATTCCATTTACAGTAGCAGACAAAAAACTAAAATGCAGTACCTAGGAATATACTTAACCAAGGTGGTGAAAAGTCTCTACGAGGAGAACAATAAAACACGGATGAAAGAAAGGGTAGAGGACACAAACAAATGGAGAATTATCCCATGCTTATGGACTGGAAGAATCAACATTGCTAAAATGACCATATTACCACTACCCAAAATCATTTGTAGATTCAACACAATCCATATAAAACTACCAACATTTTTCACAAAATCAGAGAAAACTCCCAAAATTTATATGGAATCAAAAAAGAGCTAGGACAGCCAAAACAATTCTAAGCAAAAAGAACAAAGCTGGAGACATCACCTTACCTGAATTCAAATTATACAGCAAAACAGTAGTAACAAAAACAGCATGGTACTGATACAAGAACAGACACATGGACCAATGGAATAGAATAGAGGATTCGGAAATAAACCCAAATACTACAACCAACCAATCTTTGACAAAGCAGGCAAAAACATACACTAGGGAGAGGACACCCAACTCAACATATGGTGCTGGGAAAAGTGGATCGCTATGTGCAGAAGAATGAAACTCGATCCCTATCTCTCATATACAAAAATTAACTCAAAATGGATTAAAGACTTAAATATCAGACCTGAAACAATAAAAAATTAGAAGCAAGCCTAGGAAGAACTTACTCTGGATGTCAGCTTAGACAAAGAACTTATGACAAAATCCCCGAAGCAGATGCAATGAGAACAAAAGTAAATAAGTGGGAGTTAATTAAACTAAAAATTAGCTCTGCACATCAAAAGAAACGATCGACAGAGCAAATAGGCAACCTATAATGGGATAACATAGTCACAAGTTTACATCTGACAAAGGACTAATATTCAGAATCTACAAAGAATTCAAACAAGTCAGCAAGAAAAAAGCAATGACCCCATTAAAAAGTAAGCAAATGACATGAACGAACATCTCAAAAGAAGATATACAAATGGCCCACAAACATGAAGAAAAGGCTCAACATCACTCATGATCAGGAAATGCAAATTAAAACCACGGTGAGATACCACCTTACATAGTCAGGAAAACCCTTATTAAAACATCAAAAACAATGCATGCTGGTGCAGATGCGGTAAAAAGGAGATGCTTGTCCTGGTGGGACAGTAAATTACTACAACCTCTAAGGAAATCGGTATGGAGCGTTCTCAGAGAACTAAAAGTAGATCTACCATTTATTTGATCCAGCAATCCCATTACTAGGAA